GTATTAAGTGTCACATAGTAAAAGTCGAATCAACAGACTAAAATCACAAGGATAAAAAACTCTAATGAGGTCTCATAAGGCCAAATCAATCCCCGAGCAAAAAGATTAAGACCAAATCAGCTAAATGTTAGAGAGATCAAACCAGCAAAAGAGACAGAGATCAACCTCCGATTTTGATCTCAGGATATATAAAACCAGAAAAGTTTAGTCAACACTTGAGTCGAACTCAACTTAAAAACGATGAATCAAGGACAATAACAGTTTAAAGTAGAAAAAGAGTAAAGATCGAGAAGGCCGAAGTGCAATAGATGGAACAATCCACAAGTCCTATGAGATCTCAACTGCGATCGAACTATGAACCGTCTCCAGAGAGAAAAACGGGGCAAAAAGGATTATTACATCGAATAACAACAAAAAACGAACGATTTATACATCATAATAAACCTTATAACTGTCATGATTATAAATCAGAATAAAACATCAAAAAAGAGAAGACCATGTGAAATCTACGGAAAACAACGACAACAACGACAAAAAGATCCGACACACTAGGAAGAAACTAGACACCACACGAAACGTGAAATCACATGTTTTCAACATTGATACATAGAAGAACCCACGAAAAAGGATCTTTCCTTTGCCAGGATAAATCGATCATAGTACAGTTCCACATGACTACCACACCAAAGAAAAAGAGATCTAAGAAACAAGAACAAAACTACGCACACGCAAGTCCTCAAACAACCAAAAGATGCTCCCCAACGGATCTCAGCCGAGGCCCAACATAGACCACAACTAAAATCTGCAAAGAAGTAGGAACCATGGCGCCAAGGACCAAAAGAGAGCCAAGACGGAGCAGTCTTTCCGCCGGAACTCCCAACAAAACCCAGAAAATAGCAGACAGAACAGGGGGAAAAGAAGAAAAAGGGAGGAACTCACCATATGTACTCGGCGATGATCTTTTCGGTCGTCTCGGAGAGGTTAAGGTTGACGAGATCGGTGAGCGAAGCCATGGCTGAGGCAGAACTCTCACTTCCCCGATCTGAGGCACAACCGACACACACGGAGAAGAGCGATGGGAAGAAGAGAGGATGGCAGAGCCTTTTATATGCAAATGTGGGTGGCGCTCCACTTGCTGTGGACTCTATTTTGTTAGGAAATATATAATTACTTTACAAAATTAATTATATATATATATCAATTATTTTCATTGTTAGTATAAATTTTAAGTTTTTTTATTTTGGCATACTTCTTTAAATAAAGTAAATTAAGTAAACCATGATTACAAATGACTGTCTTACATTTTATGGATGTATGTTAATGTATTTATATAAATAGTAATTGTTATTGTTCAAGGTAAATTTTAGAAAAATATAATAAATAAAAACAAAACTCTAAGTCACTTTTTTGTTGTCAAGGCACTATAAAAGGATGAAATTTGAGGCGATGAGGGGTTAAGTTAGGAAGGAAAACAGATGGTATTTTTAGATAATGGAATTAAATTTGGTGTGTTAAATCAGATATTTCATATATTGGAGTATATTTGGGTTTCCTTATAAATCATAGAACAATAGGATTGTACCCTTTTGGTGCAAAAGAACTTAATGTACTCCATGAACTAATGAGGTGTATATATGATATATATCAAAAAAATAGTTTAATATGCAATTGCCCCTAAAACCAAATAGAATGATGGAGTTGTGATATTTAAGAAATCAAATTTCATGTGTGTAATTTTATTTTTTTTTGTAAGAAAATAGACTTTTTGGCAAGTCAATGGAAGGGTTGGTGGCCTCCTTTTATTGTGTTCCAAGCATATGTTTGGACTTTGGGGACAAGGGTTTGGTTCCACCTAACCCCAACTTATGGTATGACTAGTGATTGGTCCAATTTGCCCTTGACTCTTAGATGAATTGGGAAAAATAGAGAGGATTGAAAACTTTCAATTAATATAAATGTCTTTCTCATTAATATAATAAAAATTTGTGAAATAATTAATATTCTAAGACATCTTATTAGAAATTATAAGAAAATTTTAAACACTTTTAATTTAAGTATTTTTTATATTATTAAGATTTTATTATTTTATTACTGTTGTATCTCTCAAATTAGTGATAATATGTCAACCTAACATTTACTTCAATAGCTGCCAAGTGCAACTAATCTTTGTGCACCTTCAAGCAACACAGGCATTCCCACCTAATGGTCAATCCAATTTGTGATTACTATAATTATGAGAATTTAATGATCAATCCAAGTAGTGATCATCCAAAGCTATCAAATATCCATGAATCAAATGTGTTTTCATGATCAACCTTCATCACAAGGACTGTATATCCAGTGTTAAAACCTTTTCCTTATACTAAATCAATTTTGGAGGAATTAATTGAATTAGCAAGGGTATATCGGTCAACTCAAAAGAACAAGTCAGTCGACCTCCGAGTCTGCCGTGGGAAAAGTGGTACCAACCAACGTAAGGCCGTCCACCGGCTCGGCCGGTCAAAAGGGCTGCCAACGTCGTTGTCACGTCAGGTAGCCCCGGTCTTGCCGGTCGCCCCTCCGATGCTGTGGGTCCGCGCCGCCTCGCGGGCCCAGAGGTGGGACCTGCTCGGCCTTCGTATATTGTATGGGAGCTTTGGAATCTCAGACTGCGGCCTCAGATCCCGTCCCTACGTTTCCTCCTAAGCAGGGCTCGACAGAGGTATCTTTGTCTTCTTCCCAAGGCTGACTGCCGCATTCAATGGTTTGGACCTCTTGGCCTTGGAATCAGATCACAAGGACGGAAAAATAAAGGCGGAAGATGTGACTCTTCGCCGGTTCTGATGGAGTAGCTTCTTCGATGGTGCTCAAGGCCAATTGGGTGCCTTCGAGCTGTCAAACTTTTCTTTTCCTAAAGCTGTCAACTTGACTGGAGCATGCACTCATCTGCCAACCTACTCCCTGAGGTTGGCCATTAAATTGGCCAATCTCAGTCAACTCGTTGATCTGAATATTCCTTTTTTCTGTCATTAAAAAATGTTCGACACAGCTGAATCTTCTCAAAGAAAACTGAAAACAAGCCATGATGAAACAAATACTTCAGCAATGAAGAGAAGGAAAAAACAAATGACTAGCATCCACTTAATTTTTCTCTCTCATTTTTTCTTTTTGTCTCAATAAGTGAACCTTTACTTGGGAGACTATATCACAATTTGATTTCTATATAATCTACATATATATTATTATTGTTTATTGGGAAAGGTAAAGCCTAAGAAGATTTTACTAGGAAATATAGATAAAGTATTTGAATACTTTTTATCTATCTAAGAATATTTTTTCATGTAGAATCAATGACTAGAAAAGATTCAGATGATGGACAGGTTGGGCTTCATGACTTTGGAAATGTCAACGACATATGAATTAAGCAATGGGAGACACAAAACCATCTCTCTATTTTGTCATTTAAGTTAATGAGTTTACTATTTGATATGTTCTTGCTTTTGACTTGAGCTAAGAAGAGGATATTTTAAATCACTTTCTATTGCACATATTGTCTGTATCATTTTGATTTCAAAGACGTCTCTTCTCTTACATCCAATCATTCATTTCTCTTTTGTGATTTTAGCATTATACAATTGTTTTTGGGTATCCCCAAGCCTTAGAATCATTGAACACTAACCACATACTTGTGAAGCATCTTCTTCAGGAATTAAACTGGCAACTTAGTGTTGAGGAAAGGGAAGCATGGAGACATCCGGATCTTGCAAGTTTTCCATCAACATCACAGCTACAATCTCTCACTTCAGCAGCAGCAGTCACTTTCTTGATTCACTTCAATTTATTATCTTCGGTAGCTTTGCAAAAGAGAAAACAAAAACAACATAGTCAGGTGTTTCTGATCATTCATGATCAGAAAGAATGTCTGAGTCATGAAATATTTTTTAGATAGGCAAACACTTGATGATGTTAGAAGAAGTTTTAAGGGAATCATTTGTGATGACACCATCCCTAACCTACTAACAATGTTCATCTCATATTTGATGGAACAGATAGGATTTTTGTGATGGTTTCTTTCACTTCCATGACTCATCCTGCTCCTCCTTTGTGAGGCAGAATCTCTAACTTTGATTCCCTGTTGGATTTTCTGGGAAGCACTTTCTAGCTTCACCTAAATATTATCTGCAACTTGGACAAGACAAGTATGTGAAACATGGGGGAATGTGTTCACATGAAATCTTGCAGTATATGAGTTGTGTTTAGTAGATCATGTATTTGTTATATGTTAACTCACATACTTACATATGTCAATCTGAGCACCACTTACCAATAAAGAATCAATTTTTAATAAAAATAAATATATATTATCTATTATAATTATTTAATCTTAATATTTCGATCATTATACCAAAATTACATTGAAATATCTATACTTACGAAAATTAAATATTTAATTTTATTACTATAATAAACTTATTTTTTTATTTTTAATCATGTTAAATCATCTTTTTAATCATATACACTAACTTTCGTAAGTATAAAAATCTTAATATAATTTTTAAAAATATAAGTATCAAAATATTAAAGATAACTTAATTACATGGTGTAATCTCATTAAATAATTTTTCATTGTTCCAGTAAGTCTAAAATAATCATTTTCAGATAAATTAAGTTACTTTGAGTTCATTTTACATTTGAGTAGAGGTTCAAAGTTATCTGTATTTTAAGAATTCTTTTAAGCTAATAAACCCTAAAGCCTGTTGATAGCCATGGATCAAAGGTCTTGGCGTCGATTGTAATCCGGTTTGGTTGGGTTCAATTTCATGAGAGGCGAACCGAACCGGTTCGACGACCGGAGCAGCGGGTCGTCGGCGGAAGAAGCGGTCGTTATGCGCGCCTCTTGGCGCCGCGCGCCAAACGGGCTTCCTACCGTCCCATCTCGCGCCAGCTCTCCCCCTTCTTTCGACGCCACATCCCATCCCTTAAAACACACGCATTAAGAGATGCGACGGAGGAAGAAGCTAGCGAGATTGCGAGGTCTCTCGAGTGCGAGGTAGAGGCCGTTCCTTCGTCTGGTCTGCCTGTTCTCTTCTCCGGTGGTAAAACCTCTGACTCGTGTAGGATCCTTTGAGAACTTTGGTGATCACTGCTTTCTCGTTCTTCTAGTTCTCCGTCTCCCTGTCAGAGATAGAAGATGGCAGATGGTGAGGACATTCAGCCCCTCGTGTGCGACAATGGAACTGGAATGGTCAAGGTACGGCTACAAGACCTGCTCTCGATGTCGATGATATATGATTCATCGTTTGCGTTTGTATTTCTAGGCTGGTTTTGCTGGAGATGATGCCCCGAGAGCTGTCTTCCCTAGCATCGTGGGTCGACCACGCCACACCGGCGTGATGGTAGGCATGGGGCAGAAGGACGCGTACGTGGGAGACGAAGCTCAATCCAAGCGAGGCATTCTGACGCTCAAGTACCCGATCGAGCACGGCATCGTGAGCAACTGGGACGACATGGAGAAGATTTGGCACCACACCTTCTACAACGAGCTCCGCGTCGCCCCCGAAGAACACCCCATTCTGCTCACCGAGGCGCCTCTCAACCCCAAGGCGAATCGTGAGAAGATGACTCAGATCATGTTCGAGACCTTCAACGCTCCCGCGATGTATGTCGCCATCCAGGCTGTCCTCTCTCTTTATGCTAGTGGTCGAACGACAGGTAACCCTACCCATCCACCTCGATCGATCATTCTCCGATGAAGCCATGAAATGAACCAGAAAGCTGCATCGTCTTAAGTAATTTGCTCGAACACTATTATTTTGGTATGCGTAGGCATTGTGCTCGACTCCGGCGACGGTGTCAGCCACACGGTTCCTATCTACGAAGGCTACGCACTCCCGCACGCGATTCTTCGCCTCGACCTGGCGGGCCGCGACCTCACCGACGCTCTCATGAAGATCCTGACGGAGCGCGGCTACTCCTTCACCACCACGGCGGAGCGTGAAATCGTCCGTGACATCAAGGAGAAGCTGGCCTACATCGCTCTCGACTACGAGCAGGAGCTGGAGATGGCGAAGACCAGCTCGTCGGTGGAGAAGAACTACGAGCTGCCGGATGGGCAGGTGATCACCATCGGCGCCGAGCGGTTCCGCTGCCCGGAAGTCCTCTTCCAGCCGTCCATGATCGGGATGGAAGCTGCAGGCATACACGAGACCACCTACAACTCCATCATGAAGTGCGATGTGGACATCAGGAAGGATTTGTATGGCAACATCGTGCTGAGCGGAGGATCCACCATGTTCCCAGGCATTGCTGACAGGATGAGCAAGGAGATCACGGCGCTGGCGCCAAGCAGCATGAAGATCAAGGTGGTTGCTCCCCCTGAGAGGAAGTACAGTGTTTGGATTGGAGGCTCCATTTTGGCATCCCTCAGCACCTTCCAACAGGTAAATTCTCAGACTCATCTCGATACATGTACGAAATATGCATTGATCCTGACGAGCTATTGTCGTTCATGGCAGATGTGGATTGCAAAAGCAGAGTACGACGAGTCTGGTCCATCGATCGTGCACAGGAAATGCTTCTAAGATCACCAACACTGGGAATGGTAGAAGAATAAGGTGAGATCATCAACACGACTGGCTTGAGAGAGTAGGCTCAGTTATCTCCAAATGGATTTCACCTGAATGGTGGTATGGACACTGATGAGGGCTGCTGTTCTTCCTCAACCAAGTATTGCTTCGGTGTTTTGTGCTTTGTTCCTCTTAATTCTTACTTCAATTCTGTACTTGATGGAAGGTCGAGAATTCCGAACCAGATGTGATTTTTGAGTATCTTGTTACCTTGCTATTTATGCTCAATAAGTGTATTTTGCCGTCAGAAATATAAATTGCTTCCATTTTTCCATTTGGATTTGATTATTGCTCTATTTGTGAGGCTAATTACATATTACTCTTATAATTAACTATTTTTAGTATTCTGATTCGTACACTTTAAAAAGTTATATTAGGATTCATATATTTACGAAAGCAATGCAAGATTAAAATGATAATTTTATAAAATTAAAAAAAAAAATGTTTTATTGAAGTAAGGAGTGTTTTACTTTCGTAATTATATAAATCTCAATATAATTTTTAAAAATACAGAAATCAAATGTTAAATACAAAAATCAGCTAAATGTAACTAATTACAAGAAGTAATCTATAATTAAATTTTCATCATGTATATATAAAAACAGAACCAAATTAAACAATTAGATTTCCACCGATACAACGATTACATATTTTATGTTATATAAACATAAAATCAAGTATATGGATGTAATCAAATATAAATAATTGAAACTTATGAGTTTATTATTGTTTTTTACTGTAGTATAAGATCTCTCAATAACTTTAAAATAAAAAATATATATTATATTATATAAGTGATTTATATATTTATCTCTCCATATTTAAATTTAACATATGCATCCTTGAATGTCACCGTGATTAGTCTTAATTGGTTACAATAGTGTTAGAAACTCTAAATAACATAACATTGGTATCCCTTTAAATTTTATTATAATTATAAGAATATTAAGGGTATTCTTTTGGTGCTAATAATGTTTCTAATTCAAACTAGTTAATATGAATACAATATGATTAATTGGTGAAAAAAATGCATGTCAAATGATCTTAATATTTGAAAGGATCCATATATAAAAACCTCAATTAGGGCAAATCTACATGTATATTCCTTTAAAATAATTTGGTATATAAATTATAGTATATATGATATTTTGAAGCAAATAACTTGACAGTTTAATGGAATCAATGTTACATAATCTTATCAGAGAACTCTCATATTATTCATCATTAAATAATTAACTTATTCAATAAAATTTATTTATTTTTATTTTTTATCTATCTAAAATTTATAATCTCTCATTTCGTATTTATAAATGTTATCACCATAACCCAATTAGCATGGAGAGGTGTACTCCTTAATAGTGAATAAATAGATATTAATTTGATTAGAGATTAAGAAGCACCTCAAGACGAGGGGAAAACAAGAGGCTGTGACGGCATTAGGAGACTCCCCTCTCGGTAATATACATGGATTAGTTGATTAGGGGCTTAATAAACAACTAGAGGAAGAAAGATTAAGAAAACCAAAGATTGTAATACATGTAATTAGATTAAAATAGACGAGGACAGATCAGACGGATGAGATTGCCAATCCCGCTGGGCCCATAACGTGGACGGACAGATGTTATCCGGAGAGCGGGAAGTAGAGTGCCCGAAATGGCCCCGCCCTTCCTTCCCACAATGAGCCTCATCTTCGAACACCACCCACTCCATCGTGATCACTGTCCCGAAATGCCCCTCCGACTTCTTCCCCTGCACTTCCCGCTCTGGCCTTCCTCCTCCGTTCCTCGCCACTGCCACCGCCGCTGCCTCCTCGTCGCCTCCGGTAGTGCCGCCGAGCACCAGCCGCTCGAGGTCTTCCATGTCCTTCTCCGGGATACCCTCCACGGGAGGGAGCTCCGCTGCGTTGAGCACGCGCAGGGCGCGGCAGAGATCGAAGTAGGACGACAGCTGGGAGTTCTGTGCCGCTGCCCGCTTCAGGATACGCATCCCCACCCGCCCCCGCCGTCTCCTCGCTTCCGTCGCCGCTCCGTATTGATCGGGGCCTAGAATGCCGACCAGGAATTGGGCGATGCCGCTGCAGATGCTGCTGTAGACCTCGAAGATTTCGATGACGACGCAATCCATGGCCTCGAGGACGAGGCTCACCTCCATGCCGTCAGCGTAGGGCCGGATCTGCATCAAGAGGTCTAGGAGGACCTGGAGGCGCTCCAGCTGCTCGAGGTCGTCGTCTTGGTCGCCTGCGCCTGAAGCGGCCTGGGAGGGGGAGGGGGAGGGGGAGGCAGAGCCGGTGAGGGCGGAGAAGAAGGATCGGCGGTCGACGAAGCGGTAGTAGGCGCGGACAAACGCAGAGAAGCCGGGGGAGGTGGAGGAGCGGCCGCGGAAGTCGGAGAGGTCGAAGGGTAGGCGACCGACGTGGGCAGAGGGCGACGCGTCGTCGGAGCAGAGGAGTAGGCCGTGGGCGAGGAGGAGGCACTTGAGGGCGACGATCCACGAGCGGGTGCGGGAGGCGCGACTGGCCACGGACCACATGAGCGGCGGCAGGAGCGACGAGGGGGCGCCGCGGGCCCACGTGAAGACGCGCCCTGCGCTCTTGTAATCCACCGACCGGTCGTCATGGCTGGTCGCCCGGATCACCGCCGCTTCCACCTCGGGGCTGCGCCGGTGCAGGTGGTGGCGGTGGCGTGCGCCCCCCATCCTGGTCACGTAGATGCTCCACCTGTCCTTGGCGGTCGCCGTGGCGCGGCGCCACCACTGCCTCGGCGACGCCATGGGGTGGGTGGCGCTACACAATAGGTGGCACCTCTCCCGACGTGGGAGAGAAGAACTAATGGGTTGGCATCGACTTCTCCCTCCTCATTTTGGTCAGCATATTTGGGACGTAGGAAGAGGAGGGAAGAGAAGCAATGTGCGTGGCAGGAAAGAATAGATTTAAAGGAGAAAAGAGCGGAAGGAAAAGGTGGAGAAAGAATGGCCAACCTATGGAGAGGCCAAATTGGATGTGATATTGGCTGGATTAATGGCTAAAGAAATAAGAATGCTTCAATTTCTGTGTACATAATTTGGTCGAACTCCACAAACTGCCGGAATTCCTGCCGCGATTGCAGGTTGATTTGACGTAAGTCTCGTTTCCAAGTACGCCATTCATGCCTTTCAAATATGAGTTCTTACGTTTTTTTCCCTTAAATAGAAGATATTTTTATTTCTTAAAAATAATTTCTATTATATTAAATAGTATACAAAAAGAGATATGCTATTTTGAGACATTCAAATAGATGGATATGTATTTTTATTTTATTTATTTTGGTGATGCAATCATGCATGCTTTGAAAGTTTTCAAAATATGTCGGATGAGATCTTAAATTTTTAATTATAAAAATATACGAGATTTCGTACTTAATTTGGTATATAGTTAGGACTTTAAATGATATTAATAATAAAAATTATTAAGAATAATTAAATTTAGCTCTTTCATTAGTTCACATCAATTACTATTGGATGTTAATGAAAGGGGTATATGCCAAAGATCTTACTATTTGAAATATATATATACTAAAAATTTTAAGGATAAATATACTAATTTTAAACTTGTTAATATGTGGCTTTGGTGCACAATGATACATTGTCATTATAAAGTTGTTCATAGAAGATATCGCATCCCTACTACTACTTCTTGATTACGGATTCCAAATCAACTTGGCATGCATTATAATAATGATCGATTCTCTATCTCATATATCTATGATATTATTCCCTCGCTCAGATAGCTCTATAATAATAATCAATGTACTCATATATTTAGTGCATTTGCTCGTCACAATTAGTCTAGATTTGCTTTCTTAATTAGATCATGCACGCAAGTATCTATAGTTTGTCTCTTCAAGGATGAGTTGGCCTCAGCTTCATGATGCTTGCAAGATTTCCTTGGTTAAGAAAATCTCGATCAAGCTCGATAAAATGTCCCTTTCTTGTTCTTTTTTTCGAGTCTCAAATCATTTATAGTCGTCTAAACCAGAAGGAATACATCAACTTTAAGAGAATGTCATCAAGGAGTGTTTCAATCTCATCATAACATATTATTTCATGAGCTATACATGTCGATAGAAAAATGATTCTACATCGCTATCCAAACATAATGTGTTTCGATCATTTTACTCGAAACTCAACATGTTTTAGATCATATGAATAAGAATCATTTAAATTAATTTGTTCTTGTGTTCTAATCCGATCCAACATTTGCTTTAGTGTTTACCACACCCTTTATGGATATAATTATTCTTTAATATTTACTAGACAACAACACTATATTTTATATCTTAATCATTTGGAAATCGGTTGCATTACATAGTAAATTAGATGTACTTAAAATCATAGTTATCATCAGTAGCAAATCGAAAAGCAAGCTCACACTGATCAGATCGATGGATCAACTCGTCATACTACATATTTAATTCAAAAAAAAATTCGAAATATATAACAATAATTCAAATCTAATTGGCCCGATCAATCCATTTTGTATTTCTTTTTATATAAATGATCAAATAAATGAATCGATTGATGATGATTTTTCGGTTCAACCATTCAGTCCAATGTGATTTCTGATAATTATGCTTCAACCTAGTTAACTCACCATTCTGTAAATTCTTCTCTCTCTCTCTCTCTCTCTCTGACTTCCCAGTAATTTGTTCTACACATTGCCAAAATCTTGAAACTAGCAAGACTAAGCTGTTCTCGAGTTCTTAGATATTTAGCCCGACCTAAACGCAGCCTATCGCCAATCCACTCTTAGGAAATGGCTGTGATTACATCTTCCAAAGCCATCGAATTGTCACTTGAAATTTTATTGGCTGCATTCCTCAACCAGTTTTGACTGGGTAGTTCCCAAGGCAGCAGTTCTTCTGTCCTGATTCAAGAAGAGTCAAAGTCCTTGTCGATGCCATCCACTGTACCAAAAGGCTGATGAGACAAAGAAAGATGGAGCAAAACAAAGCAAAAGGCCCGCCAGGCTAAGCATCGCTGCACGTACCCAAATGTACACACCACTGCCAAGCTCGAACTCACACGAGGCCGTCACCCACAGTGAGAGTCAGGTGGGGAATAAAAAGGTGTGAAAGGAGCGAAAGCAAGATGCACAGTTCATTGAAAGCGAGAGTGAGTGAGTGAGTGAGTGAGGTTTTAATGCTGCAGAGTAGAGCACATTTCCCGAGGAAAAAGGAGCCTCTCGCTGTAGGTTTTGCCTGTTCTTGTTCCTGCAGCACAATTAGCTTCACTTAAAGTCTCGGGGGGAAAAGATGCTTTCCTCTCTCTCTCTCTCTCTCTCTCTACGCTGTTGTTGAGTCCACTTTTTGCAGAGATCTGCATGCATGACCGCAGGAAGGAGAGAGAGAGAGAGAACAGAGTATGGCACTGAATACCATGGCATTGAGTTTTTAATCGCGACTGATGTCCGTGTTTGATACTGTGCTTGGATGCCACAGGGTGAGGTTGTCCGCTTGAAATGCAGGAGGGACGGAGACAACGATGACATGTACCGCAGCTACTTAGCCTCTGACCCTTCACAGCAACTCACTCACCACTCGTCTCCCTTTGGACTATAGCGTCTGAGAAGTGCCATCGCTGAAACTTGCAGTGTGCATCTTTTGGCTCTCCACTTTTATCGACCTCCACTGTCTTCTATCTTTTATTTGTTCTTGCACTCCGTCTGCAGCGTTTCACCGTTCATCTTAAGAAGCTGCTGTCGCCAATCCAGTGTGAGGAGGAGGTGGAGAGAGAGAGAGAGAAAACAGAAGGGGAGCACATGTCTTCCATCAAACTCCTTACCTTAATCTCAAACCTCGAGCAAACATGACGACTTAAACGTACTTAACGTTTGTTTTATGGTAGTATATGTTTGAGAGTTGGCATGAGACGATTATATATATCCCTCTCAGCTTAATCATCACAAGAAATACATCATTAACCATAGCACACTTGCATGTTGTACAGTGCGACTCTTGACATGCACATTGAACACGGAAGGAAAAAGGATCATTGGAATCCGGATAGAACTATGGAGCTACGATTTTGAGATCTTGTCTCGATGCTTACGGTCATCGTGCTCCTCTTCTCCCTCGGTCACCACCGATGACATGTAGCTCACGACAAACGAGTTGTCCTCGGACGCCATTGCGGGGTTCGCCCGGAGCTGCTGCTTGCAAGCGTAGCAAGTAATCTGCAGCGCTGTCGTTGAGTCCACCTGCTGCACGGCGCGCTCCCTGATGGCATGAGCTCGATCCAGCTCCAGTTGTGCTTGTCGCCTGATCCGTTTGGCGTTCTCGAACTCTTGCTCGGCTAGTTCGTGCTGTCTCCTCGCTTGCCGTCTCGCCTCGTCCGCCAGCGCCTTCTCGGCCATGGCCAGCTTTATGTGCTCCATCGTCTCGTCTTTGAGACGAGCGGCAGCGCGTTGTGGATCATTGGAAGGCGGGTGATCGGCAGCAGGCCCGATCGAGAGCTGCAGTTTCGTGATCTTGACCTCTTCGGCGATGGGATGCATCGCAGGGGAGGGGAGGGTGGTCTGCGGATCACTGGATGGAGGTAGTAGCTGCAGCTCTACGCCCTGAGTGCGATATCGATCAGGTTTCGACGATGGAGGTTGATCCGGCCGGCGAATGAAGACGGCAGCTGGAGTCGGCGTTCTTAAGCCGGGCCACATTGTGGGGCCGGTGTTGGTGTTGCTCGACGGACTTGAACTTGAGGCCGTCGTAGACAGGCATGCCGTCGGCTGCCGTGTCTGGATCTCTGCCGGAGCTCGGCCGGCGGTGCACGTATCTTGATGCTCGATGAAGCTCTCCACCCTGTGCCCATCGAAGCAGAGAAAGAGAGAGACAGAGAAAAGCTGTACGTTACAACGGATGTAGAAATTCACATTTCGAGCCTCGAATCATGGATCTGAGAAGCATGTAAAGAAGAACGCCAAGAACACAAGAAGATAGAGGAGGATCTAAAAGTCTCCGAAAACAGAGACCAGCAGGAAAGCAACGAATGTGGAGCGGCGATGGGAATTGCGTGCTGCGTTCGATCTAATTCAGAAATCCCGTAAGGATACGAGTGATCGATCGAATTATTATGATGCTGATGAATATGAGGAAGCAAAGTTATGGGCGTACCTGGAGAAGACGCGGCCGCAGTCGCAAGAGTGGCCGCGGGTGCCGCAGGTCTTGAGATGGGCCTTGTAGTCGGACTGCACCGCGTAGGCTTTGGAGCACCTGGCGCACACCCACTGCCGGTGGCTGCTGTGCTTGCGACGGAAGTGCTTCTTGATCCCGACCAGGTCGCCGAGGGCGTGGCACGGGTCGTGGTGCAGGCACGTCGGCTCCGGGCACACGAACACCCGCTTCCGCACCTCCGCCGCCTCCCGCCGCAGCAGTTTCCACGGTACCTTGTGCCGCCGCCGGTGCATCTGCAGATTCTGGTCCCTCTGGAACCCCTGGTTGCAGATCTCGCACACGTACCGGTCCGACTCCAGTAGCGTCCTCGGCGACAGCGACACCACCTCCGCGTCCGGGTCTAGTGATCACCACCGGAATCAGCAACACAATCGAGAAGACATGGCTTCGAATCGAGTTATACCTGGAGTGCCTGCCGGCCTTCGCTTCCTCTTGGTGCTAGTGGCATTGCTCGGCGAAGTGAATGGTTGCGCAGTGGCCGCTGGAATGGTGGTGCCACCGCCAGCAGCAGCATCAGCAGCAGGAGGGGCAGCAGCAGCAGCAGATGATGGAGAGCCTAACATCTTTCAATCTCTCAGTTGGGACTTGAAGCCTATAAATATGATCTCCTCGTTTCCACTGTGACTTGAATTGTACCAAATGGTTCTCCTTCAGGAAAACAAGACCTCATACACTGTGTCACATATATAGCACTCCTCGAGGAAGAAGAAGAAAAGGTC